AAAGAGAGAGATTTGTGTGTCAAAATATAATTCTTAGAATTTCCCCCCGCTTTGCAAAATTAGATAAGATATTAGATAATTGTATTGTAAAATTTCTATGCCGCCACTAATTGACATTTTAGAATATATCACTTAATGTAAATAGTTATTTCCTTTGTGAAAAAGGAGATAAAAAGAGAGATTGCATTGAAGCATTATTCTTTTGATAAGAGATGATAATAAGAGAGATGCCCAGTTTGTTAGCATTAGTTGGTGTAATTTCCTTAATTTGATATTAACGAGGCTATTACGACTAAACAATTCGAGATCTTGATTTGAATAACAAGTTACTCAAATTCGAGTTTATTTTTAAAAACTCAACTTGAACTAGAAGGAAATTCGGCTTTCATTAAAAGCTGACGAGCTAGCTCAGGTTTTTTTAGGCCGATCGAAACATATTTTTTAGTGAAATTGACATGGTTTCGGAATTGATTTTTCATTAAATATTATTAATACCATATACAATTTCACTAAGTATAAAATTGATATACTGTATAAGTTATAGATAATAGTTGGTTTTACAACCTTAATTAATCAACGCCTACTAAGAAATTTAACAAAAAAAAAAAAAAAAAAGTATAGGTTTTCAAAATAAGAAAAAAAGGCGTACAATATTTGCCATCTGCTTAACGAACAAAGCAAAATATCCCTCAATTGGAGCTTTGAAAGAATGCCATGAGAGATCCATATACGTCTTGCTTAGGCATTTCCACCAATCAACGATTAATCTTGCATGAGCATAATCTTCGTCTATACTGATAGTTACAACTTATCTCCATCATGACCCTCAGGCTATCCAGCTAAATGCTGTATGTACGTCCTTCACCATCAGAAAAGAGCATCTGCCCCTCCTAGCTGAAGGAAGAGAGTGAAGCTTCGATTTGGAATGCTTGTCCATCTTTGTAAAACTGGAGGTTTTGGGGCTGTCCATAATGTTGTTCCTATTTCCCATTCTCATCATTGTAATCGTATCATTGGCTCAATCTGTTCCTTCTCTAATGCACTGTCCCAAAATTTGAAATCAAATTCCAAGTTCATTTTCCAACTCGAAAAGTTCTAAATTTTCATATCTAGAAATTAGAGATTCAACTTCTAATCTTAAATTTGTAATAGTAATTGAAACGAAACTGAACATAATGGCGAGTTTCAAGTATATCGAGTATTCAATAAAACATCTTGAGCATGAAAACAGAACTTGATTGGTTGAACCGCGAGTAGAGCAATGTATCAATCTGACTCAGCCAGATGTAAACCCCCGGTTTACCAATTTTCCGTTCTGGTGGCAATATTAATAATATGGCTATCTACTTGAGCAGCTTGTTATGCAAAATTAGAAAGTGGATACTCTGAGACATGATGAATCATGTCTTTTTGTTGCTGTTTGACTGAGGGCTCATGATCCAGGAATAATATCTAACAATGGTTGGACTTCAGGCAGCAATTTCTGTCCTGTATAAATTTAATACCAAAATTAATGCAAAATATATATATTAAGTAAATTGCAGAAAAAATCAAGTCTTTGTGCTAATATATTTAGATAATTAGAAACCTGTATAATACCTGTAAAAGCTAGTTCAACGCAAGTTGGTGCAGTTCCAACACCACTGGTTTTTATTACAGACATCTTAAGAAACTTTACCAACAGCTTCCCTGGCTTCAATGATTCACAATTTTGCAATTTGTCAAAAGGTGAAAAAGATAAAGGGTTCAATGAGTTTTTCCATTATGTTAATAAATTATTATCACCGCACAATTTCTAACTGAAGATTATATGCTATGCAGATGAATCAATGATACAAGTAGAGGATAAGAGAGTGGAGTTGCATAAGTTTAAGTACGCCCTCGGGGATTCAAAGATTCCGTAGAGGCCTAACCGGTATATGCAAGTCTGTTAAAGTGAGAGGATAATTAGATTATCAGAGAAAATGCAATTTCAATTAGACATAGATGTGAAGCAAACATTAGTCACTCAGGCAAAAAAATTGTTCGCGAGCATTTCTTGCAAGTGGAGGAGGTCTCTGACCAACCATAAGCAATTGGGCAAATGTAAGACAAGCTGATCTCAACATGTTCAATAGCTCAACTTTCGTGAAAAAGCAGCCAACGCGATCAAGTTCCTATACCAGAATTCGACAAAGCTTTGAGTATGGAAATTAATTCTGTTGATGTTAAAGAATATCTTTGCTACAGTAGAGACCGCAAAAAAATACCAATGAATGCCAACATAGTGCAGCTTTTTGTCCTGTTTGATCAAGAACATAACTTAAATGTAGCAGGAAGGATCAATAAGCTACTTAATTCGTCCAACGAATCCAATCCCAGTAGGCCTAAAAAAAACGTCAATTTCATGTAACTCTCCTATACAAATTTTGATAAAAAGATGGAAATAAAGATTAGGAGTGAAAATTAACTGGATGAGTTGGAGCAATGATATATGGCCACGGCTAATTTAAGTTCCACGAGTGTTAGCAATCCATACATCATGAACCAGTTATCAGCTAAAGAAATGTAAAGATTGCTTTTGGGAGGTAATGAGCAGCCAAGTTTACTCTCATCCTACCATCATAAACGCAACTTATTAACATAAAAATGAAATTTTAAAATAATAAACACTAACCACAAAATTAGAATTACTCACATCAATTAGCCCCGTGCTGCAACATGAATAGGCCGGTCTTTTTCCGGAGACTCCAACCGGACTGCCCAAACTGGGATTCCTCTGCATGACTAAGAATAAAACCATCTTGTGTCGTAACCTGAAGAAGCAAGAACTTATCATACTGCATTTTAAAAGTAATGACTTTCAATACGAAAAATTTGGTTGGCACAAGAGAAAGAAAGTACCGGTAATGTTCTTCACAGACATAGTTAATGTCTCTTCACCATGATTTGCAAATGCCATCAGTGCCTTTTGGGACTAATGCCCTGCTATTTCCTGACTTTAGCAGAAAACAGCTTTTGCTCTATTTCCAGCTGCTGACCACAGAAAAGTATAAACTATAATTATTGTTACAAAGTTTTGGCCATGTACCTATACTATTTGTTGTTGTTTTTCTTTGCAAAAAAACTTTGAATGGTCTAAAAAAAATTATAGGGACAGAAATTACAGATCAGGAACATGAAAAGGGTATCCACATGAAATATTGAAAATAATTTTGTCACCACAACTAAGGGTCGTTGTGGGGCCAATCACATAGAATTCATCAGAATAATAATTATCCTTATTATAACAAAAGAATTCCACAGGACAAAACATGTGGATAAAGAAAATGATATTTCTGTCCAGTTACAGTTTGTCTTGATCAATATAGCTGAATAAATAAAGGCCAAATAGATGCCTATGAGAATTAAAGCCCTACCATCTTTCTGTTCAAACCACATTCTAATCATACTAGATAGTTGTCAAATAAGCAGGTTTTTTCAAGGAAGAGGAAAGTAATAGCAATTTATGTGTTAAAAGTCAGATGAAAATGAGACTGCATTGTGAAAATTACTAATGAAGCACATGAAGATTACAATAATAATGCTGCGACCGAGATTGAGTCTACAATAAAACCCATTAGTAAAGTCAAAATTCAGAACCTTTTGTACAGTTCTTGGGTATGCGTTTTTGGAAGAATCTTACAAGGAGAAAACAGAGGGAAGTAATTGCATTTACAAGATTTGTTCCATTTTTATCAATTCTAGTCTAATAAGCCAGTGTAGCTTGGGACTTACAGCCAGGAGTTGCTCGGCCGTTTACCCTCTCTCTCCTTCTCTCTCTCTCTCTCTCTCATCTCCTTGCCTTTTATTTTTTTTTCCTTTTTTTTTCGCTGTTTAGTAAGCCCTTACAGGTTTCGGAGTCTTATTAAGATATCATCAATGCATCTAATTTACATTCTCCTTATGTGTACGTTTTCACTCCGGTCAGCCAGGCCGAGCTGTCCCAGGAGTTCCTCAGAATATATCAATCAGGTCAGACTGAGCAGTTTAAGCACACACGCATCAATGTATAACCACACGTCTTCATAGCCTCGGCCTTTAAAATAGTTGAGTATAATCTAAAGTCAGTTCGAAAAAATGAAGATATAACCAGTTTGGTAATCCATTTTAATTTACATGAAAATCAGTTTTATGAACATATCATAACAAGCGTAGAACCCTCTGACAGCACAGGGGCTGGAAAGAAAAAAGCGGCAATGAACGACTCGAGCAATTTCTTCAATGAAGACTGTACAGAATGCTATGAGAGGATCAATATATGACTTCCTTGGCATTTGGTAAGCCAACAGAAAATCTTACATGAGAAGCATAATTTTCAGTGTGTCCGAACCACTAGTTTTATCTTTAATCGTGATCTTTTTAGGCTATCCAGCAAGAGCTGCCCACATCTTTGGTATCAGAAAAGAGCATCCCTTCGGCTCCACAACCAAACGGAAGAGAGCAAACATCATGTTGGAATTGTTTGTCAATGTTCATAAACCGAGGAGTCAATTGGCCATAGTGGTTTTCTTGTTTCATCGTTCATTGTTGTAATCAAATACATCGCCAAAGGTTCCTCTTTAATCAACTGTCCAAGAAATCCAGAATCAAAGTTAAAAGCCCATACAATTAAATGATCTTCAGGGCCAGTTTTCATTTTAAATATTTAGATTCATTGTTGAATGTAGCATGTCTTGTAGATGAGAACATTCAACCACTTTTTATAACATCAGGCACAGGTATGCGCTCGAACACATTACTAATTCTTTAAAACTAGGTTAGCTAGTGGGGAGCTTGTTAGAAGAAAATAACGGATGCACTTATCTCTGAATGGATGGAAATAAGGTTTTTGTTGCTGTTGACTGAGGTCCATGCTATTAAAGAAAAGCAGCCAAATTTGGAGCCTGTCCAGACAGCAGTTGGGTCCTATAATAGGCAAATTGGTAGGATCAGAAATGAAGAAAAACATTTCCAAATGGAAATGCTAAGATCAGAACTGAGAACATTTGTGGTACCTGTGAAAGCAGTCAACAGAATCGGTCAGAAATGAAGATAAACATGTCCAAATGGAAGTGCTAATTCAGAACTGAGAACATTTGTGGTACCTGTGAAAGCAGTCAACAAATCGCTGCAGTCCACACCTGGTGTGTTGCAGACATCTTGGATTAGTGTCCTACTGGCATCTCTGTTCCATAGGGAGCAAAAAGGACTCACTTTAAAATTATAAGTAACAAGAAATAGAATGAGATATCAAATTTATTCAATTTCTCTTGGATATAATAGAACTTCTGTTAAACTGAAAACTAAAATAATAAATTATATTCAAGTGTGCCCGTATTTTGGTCACATTAGTAATGCAAATATGGTCTTATTCTTGGAAACTTAACGAAACACAGAGAAAAGCCATGTTTAATGATCTTGGGCACTCCTTTGTTATCATTTTTATGTATGCAGCCATTCAACAAATGCCTCATATATAAAGTTTTTCAATGTGAATCAGTGTCTGGGGAAAAATAAGAAAGATTGAAATTTTACCCGATTGGATCAAATTTCGCAAGACCTAACCAGAATGATTCCTGCCAATGCCAAAATAAAGGTATATATTATACACACATAGACACACACAAAGAGTCGCTTGTCAGGGAGTGTCATCCAATTAGTTAATCAATAGAAACAGAAGAGTTTAGTATTCACATTGGCAGCTAAGATGTCAGAAGCAACTTTTGCAACTGGTGATATTATCTGACCCATATAGGCAACTGGTCCTAGTAAGGCAGCTGATCTCATCACGTCCACCAACTGCTTCTTGGAAAAGGCAGCTAGAGCAGTCAGAGTTCCCTAAGGAATAATTTTAAATTTAGCATCTTCACTATGAAAAAAGTGCTCTTACAGCAAAATGAGGCAGCAGAATGAGTAAAAATACCAGTGAATGGCCAACATAGTGTAGCTGCTGTCCTGTTTGATTGTGAACATATTGAAACATAGTAGGAAGATCAAAAGCAGCCAATTCATCCCATGACCAATTCCAGAAAGCCTGAAAAACAGACCAACCATAAAAAAAAGTTAAAAATAAAAATAAAAAGACTGAAGGAATAACATCATAAAGACAGAGGAAACGTAACTGGGTCCTCTGGACTAAGTGATGTATGCCCACTGCTAGATTGAGTTCCTCTTGCATTGGCAAGCCATACATCAAACCCGTTATCTGCCAGGAGGAAAGCCAAAGATTGCCCTGGAGGTAATAACAGCCACGCTGCTGCATCCTGTCACCCATTTTGTCACTTGTATATCCGATCTCTATAGTTTCTCAACACTAATTACTCAAAATCAAAATCACCTACCATTAGTATCCCATGCTGCAACAGAACTGGCGTCTTGTTTCCTGGAGTCCCACCAGATGAAGGCCCTAGAATTCTCTGTATGCCGAGAATAAATCCATCTTGTGTAATCACCTAATTACAATCAAAGTTCCACAAACTATAATAAGCCAGCATTTATCAATAAGCTTCACAAACTGAATATTAATTTAAGCATATTACTGTGTGTTCTTCACAAGCATAGCCTTGCGTTTCCACCAGCGTTTTACAAATCCCATAACTGGGAGATGGGGCCAATGCAGCCACAACAGCCTGAACTTCCAATAGCTTTGATCTCTTTCCATATGCTGATCCACAGAAAACAATTAGTAGAATCATATAGGTTATAGCATTAGCCATTTTCAAGTGCTACCTTTCTTGCTCCAACTCTCCCCCAGTGTTCCAGAATTTATTCAATTCTGGAACTTTGTCAACATGCTGTACAAGGCATCTAAGCGACGGCTGTATCACTTGTTACAAAATCAACTAATGACATTCTAACAAGAAAATTTTACATATCTTTTCATTGATCAATCCGACATGGAAAATATGTGAGAAATAAATTGAAGAAAACAACATTTTGTTACATCATTTCTTGGCATCATTACAAACTGAAGGTGCTGTTACAGCAGATGCATAGGAAATTCAGGCCAGCTGGTCCTCTTCCACAACTAACAAATTAACCACAAATGATTGACTTTTATGTCAATGCACTTAATTTTCTTCCGCCAAAATATCACATTAAGTCTATTATGTACTAAAAGCAAGTACCAATTTCGAGCTAACGTGCAGCAATCATTGAACTGAAGCGCCTCAACAACAAAAAGGCACTTTTAAAAGAAGACTTCCTAGTTTCTAGAAAATACAGAGATGTCAATAAATGGGGGAAAGGGCAAAATTCTCATTAAAAAATTTGTTTTAAAGGAGCAAGGCATTTATTTAGCAAAGCCCACTAAAACATGGATTATGAGAATGAATAACACAACATTACATCCAAAAATGCCAGTAAAGAAAACAATCTTCACTGTGTAAAGCTATATCAATGATCTGTTTTCCCATGATCTCGGAATATCTAAGCCAAAAATTTAGAGGAACTTTCATTGGTTTAACAAGACTGATGGAATTCTCCAGGATTACGTGCCTTAGGAGCATCCTTCAGCAGACTGTCAGATGCTTTAACTCCATTTCCAGGTGTTTTGTTTTTCAGTAATCTCCTTTTAATAAATTGGAATTTCCACTCCTCAGGTCTCATTCTCCCCAGCAACTGCCATCTTTTAGGTTTTAACTGCCCCAACAATTTTAGCTGTTCCTTTCTGAACTTCCTATTTCCATACCATCTTCCACCTCGCCAACCAAAGGCATACCTACATTTCAGGTAAAGCAGGTAAAGAAACAATTCAGAAATTCTACTCTTGCAATTGAGGAAGAAAAGGAAATGAAATGACCTATTATCAGTTGACAAACTTGATCAAGAACATAATTATTGTAATATCTTTCTGCTATCTAACTTTAATTGCTTTCAATCTAATTAGAAACCAAAGAGACTGACTTGCCTAGATCGTCTCCATGGAAATAGAAATTTTTGTTGAAATGAGAATATTTCTGACCATACACTGGGAAAAAAAAAGAATAAAATAAGAACAATTTGTAAAAACTTCATACTTTCATTGATTTGGTCTATAGGCAATGGATCAGGTCCAGGTAAGTATAATGCATTTTAGAAGTATACCATGCACAATATAAGCATTAGTTCATTAAAATTTTTTCTAGTAACAAGTTTATATAAAATACAAGTATTATTGAAAAAATAATTAATAACTATAACATAATAACGATTTAAATGCACTATGAAAAGTAAAAGTTAAAAAATTGGTCAAAACTAATCAATGAGATATTTTTATAATTAAGGGTAATATAACAATAACAACAACAACTAAGCCTTAGTCCCAAACTAATTGGGGTAGGCTATGAATCTTTATTTTCAATATCCCCTCCGATCAATATCAATGCAAGGCAAAGTTTAGTCAAAAAAAAAATATTTGAAATTACTTTTGGTAGAAAATATTTTTGAAGGAAAATTTTAAAATCATTTGATATGTTAATAAATAGAATAAAGCATAAAATAGACAACAACAACTAACTAGGGTCTACTACAAAAATCCTTTGTCTCCATTTTGTTCTAAGTATAGCTATATCCTTAATAATATCCAAAAATAGTAAATCCTTCGTGACTGCTTCCCTCCAAGCAGTTCTAGATCAACCTCTTCCCTTTTTAGTACCCTCCACTACTAAAATATTACATTTACAAACCGGGCATGTGGGTGTCTATGTAATACATGAGAGTGCAGTCTCAAGCATCCTTCTCTTCTTTTATCTCTAACTTCCAACTCGCACTTTTGTCTAATGTGATTATTTCTAATTTTGTTAAAACCTTGTGTGATAACGCATCCATCTCAATATTTGCATCTTCGCAACATTCATTTTGTAAACATCTTGCACATTAGGTGCCCGACATTCACTCCCATAGAGCATTGCAGGTCTCACCACCGTCCTATAGAATCTATCTTTCACCTTGTTAGGTATTTTCCTATCGCATAGTAGCACTCCTGCATTTCATCCATTCTACTTAAATTCTATGAGAAACATCTTCATCAATGAGACCCCTTTTGAAACACAGACCTAGATATTTGAATCGATTGCACTAGGGGGTGTAAATGAGTCGAACCGGCTCCGAAGCTGTTCGAGCTCAACTCAAAAAAAGTTCAAAAATGTTCGGTTGGAATCAAGCTCTAACCGGCTCGTTTGCGAGCTCGAGCTTAATGATGCTCAACTCGAAAGCTCTTCGAGCCTTATCGAGCTTTTATATAAATAAATGTAATATTTATTTTAAGCTTCCTCAAGCATCGAGCTTAAAATTTTTTGAATTGAACTCAAGCCTCAATTAATGGCTCGAGCTCGACTCGAGCTAAATACTATTGAGCCAAGCTTTGAGCTGACAGGTTCAATCTCAGCTCAGCTTGTTTATACCCCTAGATTGCGCTTGGGCACCATTGCATCATCTAATCTAACCTTACTTTCCTGTTCTTTCCTTAAACCAAACTCGTCGTGCATGTAATCCGTCTTGCTTCTGCTTAGCCTAAAACCTTTACCCTCAAGAGTTCTCCTCCATAGTTCGAACTTTTAGTTTAATCTCTCACCAGTTTTATCGATTAAGAAAAAATCATTTGCGAACAACATGCACCAAGGAACATCCTCTGGTATATGACTAGTTAGTTTATCCATCACTAAGATAAATAAGTATGAGAGAAAAGCAAAATTTAAGGGTAATAGCATCCTGAATTTTTTATACACAAAGGAAATGTAACTTTTTCCACCTCTTTAGGAGGAAATTATATCCATGAATCTAGTTTTCCCAATTATGTAAAGTTCATATGCCAACCAAACACCAAAATTTTACATTTCCAAGTCACTTTTCTGTCTGATTCCAGCAATCAAAATATCTCCTAAATTTAACCCATGTGTTGTATTTAGCAAGTACAACCCTCAACATTTTAGAGAACATTTTCTGATTTTCGCTACTAGATCCACAGAGCCACAAATGCAATTCACCTAAAAATTGGAATCACCTTAATATAGCTATAAGATGGCAAAACAGATAAACCAAGGTTTTAAACCCATACTAGAAGTTCTTCCCTATACTGCACCAAATGTTATGAGATTGGTTTATAATTGAAAGTGAAAGCAACCTTCTTTCCCATGCCAACATGCTCTCCAATTAAGGGTGATGAGAAAACCCATCAGAAGAAAAGATATTGTCATAAGATAGTCTCAATTCATAAGAAATGCATAAAACTAACTTGATCTCATTGAAATAACATTGAATTCAAAAGAAAAAATCGTCCTATTTAAAATTCCTTTTCCCCAAAATATATTGGTATTGCATTTAATTTCTGTAGAGTGGCCCTTTCATCTATCCATCACCTTTCCAGCTGAGAGGAATGTATTATCACAGCAGACAGCACTCATCTTTTATATCAATGAAGTGCAGTTAATCAGATTCAGTCCCACTGGACAAATTGTCAAATGATTTGGCTAGTGGCAGACTAATTAATGTTTGACAGGGAAAATTCCAAAAAAGCATGTGAAAACAAAGCATTAATGCAAGGGAAAAATGAGCTGGTACGAACCCAAGAACAAATGTTGTCCCAGCAGTAGCAATACAGGCAGCAACATTAGAACGTCCTGGATCCACAAGCTTCTTAAATTCTGCATGTTCGAGTTGATAATTGTTTTTCATCTGCACATGAAAAGAAGAAATACAATCAGATGTAAGAAACAACAACAAAAACATAGGACAGGAGATTAGGAAAGTTTTGCAAAGAAGTCATTCACAGACTGGAGCACAATGACATTCAGCCATATCTTGGAAAAATAAACCGCCACAAGTAATGAAAGGGTTAGTACTTGTAGCATCTTTGTTAAAGGTAGCCTTGCACATTTCCTTTGACTCTGATGATATTAAAGGATAAAAATCAAGATGGGATTGCATCTATGGAGACAGGTACAGATCACACAGCAATACCTGAGAGAAAAAGCAGTCGGAGAATTTTAAAATTTTAATTTTGAAAGGTGTAGATACTGCAGAGATGGCCCATCAGAGGGAAGAGAATCAAGACGCAACTACTAAAAGGATAAGGCATCTCACATCATTATTAGAGTAAGTCAACTGAATTCAATGAAGTATAAGTTCCAACTATCTAAGCCCTTCTTCTTCTCTTTTCCCCGCTTTTTTTTTTCGAGTGGGGGAAGGCACTCTATAACATATTTGACAGCCACACAAAACCCAACAGGCATCTTGAACCAGTCTATCCCATGAGCATATTACCAAATACACTCACTTGGAGACATAAAAAAATATTACCAGCAAAAAAAATATAAGCAGCAATGACCATCCAACATTATGCAACATAGACTCACAGCTTTTTCAATTGATTCAAGCCTTTGATCAACTTTTGATTCATAAAGATGGCGCAAACAATATCCTGCACATTCATTTGCAAATTTAATAAGAAGCTCTCCTCAAAAATAAATCCATACAAGAGCACAAATAAACAAAATGAACGATATACTTTGGTCATGCTTCAGATAACATGTATGATTTCTTTCCTTTCCTATTATTTTATACATTAATTATGAAAATCTTCAACATAAAATGAGCATCAAAATTCAAAACAAGTTCATGAACAAAATGTGGACTTTCGAAGTTCAAAGGTAAGGCATGCAAAGCAAAGTTTGATAATGGACTTTCACATCATGAGCACATGATCAAATCAGTTCACCAAGTGGAGACAGATTTCTTCAATGATATTTTACTACTGCCAGTAAAATTATACTCACCATATACCAGACTACTTACATCCATTTAAGTTATTTCTTTATAGTCATAGGAAATCTATTCCTAAATTAGCAGAGTGATTGAATGAGAGGTTTCATTCAAATAGGACCCCCTTGAAACTCATTGATCAAAGATAAATCTACCTAATTCTCAATTCTGCAGAAGACTCAAACTCAGCATTTTAAAGTTTGCATGATCAACATCCATGCTAACTGCCATTTAATTGTTATGAAGTTGAAATTACAGCAAGAATATATTGGTATACATAGCCAAGACCCATTTTACGGAATCACAAAAGCCACTAACACCAAGCATAAAAGGGAAGAACCAGATAAGAAACAATAAATATAAGTTTTCGACTTACCACCCCATGCTGTAGCAACTGATGCTACAGAAGTTCCAATTGTAAACACAACCCTATGCCTCTCAAATAAGTCCTGAACAGATCAAAAGCACGGAAGATCAAACAATAAATAAGTGGAAATAAGAAAACTCCATTGAACCAAATTCGATTTTCAAAAAAAAAAATAAAATTAAAATTAAAAAAAAAAAATCCCACAAAAATAATTTGGTCCCACCAACTCAAGCCAATCTTCAGCAGTAAATTCAGCTCATAAAAGAAAGTGAGCAGAATGTAATAGGCAATTCGTCAAAAAAAATGCAAAATGCAAAATAAATAACACCCATAAATTTAAATGGGAAAAAGAATTTTACCTTTGTAGAGAAATATGTGTCCTGAACAGCAGACCATGAGTTAAGAGCTTTCCTCCTCAATTGCGGGACGGGCAAGGAACCCAAAAGCGAGGCCCCTTTGCTTCTAAATCGATGCATCCTGCATTCTAACCTTAGCTCGGATGAGTTGATGAGTTTCTTTGAGCTCAAAGCAACACAATTTCTAGGGAACCAAACAGGAAACCCCTAGGAGGGAAAAGTAGATGTAAACTAGGCAAATATGCTAAAAGCTTTGGCTATATAGTTATGGCCGTCCGCTTTAGCTTCGAAGAAGAACGAACGATTTGGATTTGGTCCCTAACCCATAATAAAATTCAGGAATAAGAGATACAAATGCAATTTGCGCAAAATTAATCTTTCCTATAATGATTACCATAATCTTATACCAGTAAATAAAAAGGCATAATTATTTCGCTAAAAAGATAATATTTGATGTAAGTCAATTATAATTAATTTTTTTAAAAAAATAATAATAAATATATTTTAGATCGAATATACACAATCATTTGAGAACTTAATTTTAATGACTACTTTTAATTTCTCCTATCATTACTATTATTATTTTATTATTTTCTAGATAAAACCTACCCAATAATCATTAGACAAGCTTCTTCATAATTTCATAATATAAATGAAAAAAACTATGTTAACATTATGGTTTGGAGATATATATCTATATATACTCCAAATTTTAATGACTATTATGTATTTGAGTATTTTTTTTTTTATTATATTTTACGGCATAAATTCTTATTTTTCTTTATATTCAACTTTTATTTAAGAATTAAAAAAATTAATAGTTTGAAGAAAAAATATTTAATGATTAACAAAATTATCAAGCTTTTATCCTTTTTTATTCAAGTAATTTTATAATATGAGTAAAATAGATTGATTCAATTTACAAAAATAATAATTATGATTTCATTTTTATTTTGACTGAAAATGTCTATTGTTAATAAAATTATTAAGGTAGAGTGTGTTTATTGTTTTTCAATTTGTAGAAAAATTGGAGCGACATTATTCTATTAGTAGTAAAAGACCAAAAAGAAAAAAAAAATAGAAAATAGAAATATAATTTATTGCATTAGATTTATTTATTTACATTTTTAACTAAATTTAATTCATATCAAGTATCATATATATTTTTAGTTTTATTTATTTATTTTTACTATCCTTTATAAATCTTTTAATTTATATATCAAGAAATAATCATGTTACTAAACAAATTGATGTAATTGTTATTAGAAAATTATTAATATATTCAAGATGAGATTATAACAAATAACTGTATGAAATCTTAAAATAACTTAAAATATGAAAATAATATTGCTCTAACTTATAGTATACAATTTATATGTAACTAAACTCCCACAACATGTATTTGGTAAATTCATACAAATTTGTTAATCATTAAATGTTAATCTCATATCAACATCGATTCTGATCTTTATATCACTTTCTTGTTTGACGCTCCCTTTCTAGTAGTAGATTCTTTTCACAAAAATTAATAAGCTCACTTTGATATGAAAAGAAAAGGTTGTGGCTTTTCGCTTGCTCAATTTAATTCTCATGAGGTTTCGTGGGAAGATAATGAAATGTCAATAGCACCTTTTAGCAAAGAGGAATTTAAAATTGCTCTATTCCAAATGTATCTAGATAAGGCACCGGGTCCTGATGGTCTCAGCATTCCTTTAAAAGTTCTGGCATGTTGTAGGCAATGATGTGGTGCACAATTGTATTTCGTGGCTCTAATAAGGTATTTTCCCTTCTTCCCCACTGAATCTACTATTGTCTTAATCCCGAAAATTGAACATCCTGAATGTGTGAAGGATTTTAAGCCTATTGCCCTTTGCAATGTCTTATATAAAATTGTTTCTAAAGACTTAGGTAACAGATTTAAGAGAATCTTGCCCCATATTATTCCTAATAACCAGTCAGCATTTGTCCCAGGTAGATTGATAACAGATAATGTTATGGTTGCATTTGAAACTATTCATAGCATCAGTAGAAATAATAGAAGAGGTATGGGTTCCTGTAGCCTTGAAATTGATATTAACAAGGCTTATGACAGAGTGGACTGGGATTATTTGCGTGATATACTCAGGGGTCTAGGTTTTTGTGATAAATGAGTTCACTAGATGTCTTTGTGTTTTTCGAAAGTTTAGTATAAGGTGAATTTTAATGGCAATCATGTGGGACTAGTTATTCCAATTGGAGAGTTACAGTAGGAGGACCTTATTTCACCTTATATGTTCCTTATTTGTGCTGAAGGTTTGTCCTTTCTTTTTTTGGAGGTTGAGAGTCGACGATGGATTAATGGTTGTGTGGCTGGAGTTCGATGTCCTAGGGTATCTCATCTTTTATTTGCAGATGATTCCCTTTTCTTTTTTGAGGCTCACGCTACGGAGGCTAAAAGGGTAAAAGAAGTCTTTATTGAATATTAGAAGGCGTCTGAGCAATAAGCCAATTTCAAAAAATTCAGCATCATTTTTAGTCATAATGTGGGATGTGTTCTTAAAAATCATATTTCCTCTATTCTTGGGGTCTCTAATCCCTTAGGTGGCGGGTCTTATTTAGGGTTACCTTCTTTGGTAGGCTGCAACAAACGTCAGATTTTTGGTTTTATTGAGGATAGAGTTTGGAAAAAGCTTAATGGGTGGGGGAATTGATTTTTATCACGAGTTGTTAGGCAGATATTATTGAAATCTATAGCTCAGGCTATCCCTTCTTACTGTGTGGGTCTGTTTTTACTTCCTATGTCTATTTGTCATGAACTTCAAGTTATGATGAACAGGTAAAAGGGACGATTCGGGTGGGATAAACTGGATTTCTTAGGATCGGATGAGTAGAGACAAAAGGGATAAACTAGATGTTTTTTCTTTTCTTCTTGAGAATTTGCCTTACTCAATCTTAAATACCTACCAAGAGAGGGAAGAGAATGGAAGGAAAGATGAAAGAGCATATACAAAGAACAGAAACTTAGATTTTGGTCTATTTGTATTTTCTCTTGTGACGTGGATAATTTCGTATACTTGTATGTACAAATACGTTAACTGAATGTCCCTTGATCACTACCATTCATCAAGATCACAGCCATTGATATGATTCACTATGGAGATGGTTTATTTATTTCTTTATTTATTTGGATTTGGAGTAATACTGTGGTGACTATCCTCCTTCATTTTACTTTATAAATTCTTTTACTTTATATCTCCTTTCAATTTGAATTATCTTTTCCTCCTCTATTATTTTTGTAATGGTAATTAATCATTGTACCAATGATTTGTCCCAAATTACATGGTTAAGACATGATACCATATTTATTCAAGGGTTAAATTGTTTCACCATGAATTTTTTCCTCTGTTATAATTTAACTAAGATAAAGGCTAAATTGCCCCACATACTTGTTGTTTAGGGCCAAAAAGCTCCATTTTGAGCTTTTGGGCCATTTACTTTATAAACTTACTCAAAATCAGTTCAAATAGCACTATGCTCATGGTTTCTATCACGCATATAACTTACGCGGTCAAAGCTAAATAAAAATATTTAAATTAAAAAAAATGATACTGTCATGCGAGAAATAATGCATATTCAACATAAAAACAGGGAAAATTGAAGCACGAAATCCATAAATCTCCAAAATTAGTTCTTCAGCGTATTGAGCAAATAGAGGCTAAAGAGAGTAATCGCAGAGCAAAGATAGGCTAAAGAGACCGATCGCACCTGTTGATGGCATCCTTAGTCACTCGGTCATCAATCTCCATAAATAGTAATCAAATAACAAGCTCTAATTGATCTGATTATGATTATGAGGGCTCGATGAAGTTGTGTAATTTTCGAATAAAAGCATCGCGATGGGTCGCACCCTGGAAGATGATTTTATTCATGCGGGAATTTGAAGGTAAATATTTTTTTCTTTCTAATCTGTTTCTTCTTAGGCATCATTGAGAGGCTCTGAATTTTTTTGGTTATTTTGTCTTTCTTCAAATGCAGTTGTAACCCTTTCCCATATGAAATTAACGAAACCACATAATCAATAAAGCCAGTGATTATAACGGCTGTGCCTAGATCACATAAGTTGAAATTGGAAGAGGACCTTAAAAGCTTTTTAGTTAACCTCACAAGGCCAGCAGCTGTGAAGATTGAAGATATTTGTGTCTATTGTTTTGGTTGAGTTATTTTTGAATTTGGCATTGCTGATAATGTTGAAATTAAAGTAGTGAGGAGCATCAATGGGCTGGGATAATTAGGAACAATATATTTATTCCGACGAGGAAAAAGAAGGTAGTTAGGAATCGGGCATTACTATTTTGTATTTTGTTATATTGAATGAAATTGAGCAACCTTTTAACATTAAATTATTGTTTATTATTTTGAACAGCTAAACAATATAAGGAGAAGGAATTAGATATGTAACGAAATAAAATTTAGTATGAACTGTGATTTATTTTGCAAATCATAAATAAGATAACATAATTTTGGATAAAAGTAACATGTCTCTGATGCTTATATATGTGTTCCTTTGTTGCTTTTTATTGTTTGATATATAATTGTATCTCAAATTTAAGCTATATATACTTTTCAACTAAAACTCAAGATGAACACTGAAAGGCAACTGTTTTCCATCCTATGCAAGAAAAAAAAATACACTCCTATATTTCGTTACTATGCAACAAAAATGACCCAAAAAGTAGTTGGTTAGTTTTCCAAAAAATTCCAAAATGTCAAAAGCAAAAAATTTCTATATTGCCTTATTATTCATGGCCTCTATTCTGGTCTGTGAGGGGATGGCTTTTGCCTTATGTTGCCTTGCTTGTGATGTTGTAAATTGGTTGCTCCACCTTCTGCAATAGCATTAGTAACATTTTGCACATGTACTCCATTCATAACATTTGATGCCTCATTATGTTTATTGTGCTATGTTGAGAAGTGTTGAATTGATGGCTTCCATGATATTGTGCTGGTTTAAAGTGCCCCAAAGTCTGAGATTGAAAATTGGAAGCATTGATGGAGGACTGAGATTGTGTCAAATTATCAAAGTCAGAAACATTAAATAAAGAGAATTATTGGTTAGTCCCTGTTTAAAGGTGCATGAGGCACATAAATAAAAAACTCATTATGAGATGCAACTGAAGAAACACCATGAGAATACAAAATATAAGACTTAAAAAAATACAGACTTCAGAGTCAGGCGCAATATTGGTTGCTTAATGTTCTTACAGTCATTTTTGTTATGTCCTTTCATCTTACACAATGAGTAAGTTATCTGTACACCCTTTCTTAACATCTTCCCTCCCTTCCCTTCCTTCCCTGGCTCATCAGGATCCTTCCTCCTATTGTTCTTTTATCTCCCGAGCTTCTTTTTTTCTTCAGGTGGCAATATTGGGGCTCTACCAATGCAAGGCCACATGTTTCTTCCTTTCATTGGTTGCAAGTAATACTTATAGGTATATGCATCTTTAGAACAACATTTGTCCACATACTGCAAAAGATTACCCTTATTACCGCATGTGGCACAAATGGCATGGGGGCATGGAATTCTAGATAAGTCTCATGCCCTACAAGTGCATGACATGTTCTTTGTACCAACCGTGTGCTTACCTTGCCTTCAGATTTCATACCCTAAATGCCCATTGAATTCAAGATGACACTAACATGCTCTAACCATATGAAGTTCCAACTTTGTTATTGCAGCTGGGCTAACAGTACTTATCCATTTTAAAACATCTTTCTTCTTCTGCATATTTCTTCGCATTAAATCAACTCTAATATCTTCCAACATAGTCATAATATGTTTAACCCTACTCCCTAGAATGGTATTATTGAAGCTCTCGCTCTCAACACTGTCACATTTAGAACTTATTCTAAAATAGGCTCTACACCATGTGGAAAGGGGGTAATTTAATAAATCACTAACACATCCTGCAGCTAATGAGTCCATTACCTCAAGTTGATCATGGAAGTACTGCCGATAAATACTCTTTGAACATATCCAAAACTGTTTTCATAATTCTGACCCTTTACATTTTTTCTGCTAATGACTAAAAATGTGCACAGCACACCTTCTATGCTCGGCTAATTACAATTTCAACTTCACTGCCTCTATAAGACTCTATAGCATTAGGTTTAAAACAATCAAGCATAAATCGATTTAAAACAATCGAACAAAAATAAAAACAAATCAATTAAATGTAAGTGGCTTGCCTTTTGCATATCAACATGAGGACAAATTCCTTCATGCTTTCTATGCTCAAATCCATCTTCAGATTTGATAGAAACCACCTTCATGTTTTAGTATTCTCAACTCCTACAACATCCCAAAGCAATGGGATACTATTAGTTGTGGCATCCCTTCCAACAGCTGTAAGAATTTGACCCATGCATATTGTTTTCAAAAAACAGCCATTAACACCAATAATTGGTCTACAACCACCCATCCAGCCTCTTCGCAAGGCATCAAAACACACGTAAAAAGCCTCAAATTTATGTGTATCCCTATTCGCTTGAACTTCAATGGTGCTCCCCGAATTTGTAACCCTCGATTCCTCAAGGTAATCCTCTAGGCTAGCATATTCTGCTTATAGTCTCCTTCAAACTCAATTTTTAACAACTGCTTCACCCTTTGGGCCATAGTAAATGAAATATTAACTCTATGTTTCTCCTTTGCTTGTTCATTTATCTCTTTTACTTTTGTGAGTGGATATCGTCTAAATCTCTCGAAAATAGTCAACCAAATACTTCTTGGTCACCCTCTTATTATTGTAAACTCTATAACACTAGTGCTTATGTTTATATGTCCTAATCATGAAGTCATTTGACTTGCTTTCAATGCTAGCAAATAACATCCATGGACATCTTGGAAAAGTGCATTTAGTTTGAACCCTTTTCGAATCATTTTTTGTGAAATCAATCTCCATACCTCTACATACTGCATATTTAGTGCATGCCTCTCTAAAGTCACTTGTATTTTTAAAAATCATTCCAACTACAAAAGCTGGAAATTGAGACTTAGAATCATATATTACCTTCCTAGTCCTTTTCCTTCTAACCATCTTATGTTCATCATCACCTGAGATCTCTTCAATGCTGCCTAAGTCATCAGACTCATTCCCTCCTTGATTCACATCACGACCACAATCACCTTTATCATTCCAAACATCATCTTCAACAATCTTGCTTAAGTGCTCTCGACCCCCTTAGGTACAACAGTTTCACCATCATCTTCACTACCATGACCATTGTTTCCTCCATCCTCATCATCAGCAAAGTTTGTATATTATTGTCTTACCTTTGTTCTTGTTGAATTAGTTCATCACTGCCCGTGTCAGAGGCACACTCTTCATCTATCTCGACTTCCTCATATTGATCCCCAGTCTCTATCTCACATGCAATATTGAAGGCATTTACATTATTTTTGCTTTTCTTTGTGCCTTGCTCATTTGCTTTAACAAAACTTGTACCCAAATTTTCATAGCCTACCAGTGCCTCCACATTAATTGTCGATAAGCCATCAAATTGAAATTCCTCAATTGTAGGCAGTAGATGGGTATCAAAAATAATGTTTGGAGTGTCAATTAGATGCTCTAAATATATATGCATTTCCTCACCTTACTCATATCCAAGTAACAACATTTAATGAAGAATGTCTTCATCTCATAAAAGAACCAAACCATCTTTCAATGTTTGGCCTGTAGGCAACCAATGTATCCTGACATGCCCTTTTGATCATACTTGATTCACAATCTTAACAAGTGTACTGTAATTAAGATAGTCAATATCATTTATATTAAAGTTCTCAACATGACTCCCAACATACTTCAAACCCCTTCTATCCTTTACAAATATACCACCATAATGGACCAATATGTTTACCCAAATGACACCAGACATTGATTGTCCCTGTAAATAATCAGTTATTAACTTCAAGCATAATAAAATATGCTAAATAAGGACACAAGGGCCATAAACACCCACTATCTATAAACTATATTAAAACTAAAATACATGTCAGACTTATAAAAAACATAAAAAGAAAAATCTTTCTAACAGGTCTATTTTTTCGATTTATGTATCGATGAAAAGAGACAAAAAGCATTACAAATTAACTTTTCCTGGTCACCATCAACGTCAATAAACTCTGCACTATTTTTTCCCTAATTCCTATTTGATTTACCTTTTTGCAGTAAAACCCTGCTGTTACATGTCGATCTTTGAGCGGAACAAAAATATGCCTCTAAAATTCTACTTTCATATCTTCTTGGTTGATAATTTTCAAAGACACGGTCGCATAATAATATTGTGGCTTCAACGTGCTTTGACTGAAGGATACAAGTGTTGTTTGAACTGATTTTCAGGAAGTTTATGATGTGAATGGCCCAAAAGCTCAAAATTGGGCTTTTTGGCAATAAACAGCAAGTTTGGGGGCAATTTGGCCCTTATCTTTAATTTTACTCTATTTTGACCTTCGTATCAATCTCACCCTGAATTTTAATCTTTTATTACAATAACATCCCACATTGCAATTAAAACTTAAATTTAAAGAAAAAAAAAAAAAAACATTGCTATGAAATGTACTCTTGACTTTGAGTTAACTTAATCCAATTTTATTCACTCGCATAAATTTATTAAGTTTAATTATTACCTTAAACAATTTTTTTTTCATTCTACAATGATAAATTATAATTGATTAGAATTATATCTTATATTTTATTTTGATAAAAAAAAATTGTTACAATTTCTAATAGTTATGAGTCAAATAAATTCGTAGTATCTTTGCTTTAGATTTTTTATAATTATTTTAAAATTCATATTAAAATGAAACCACAATAATAATTATATTATAATTTAAAAAAAAACAGTCATGTATTCAATAATTAATTTTTAAATATTACTTATTATCAATTAAAGAAATAATTTTTAAATTATTAAAAATAATAATAGAAATTGTCTGAACTATTAATCCAAACTCAATTACTCACACAAATATATTAAGTTAACACAAACCCAAGATCAAAAGTGAACATTTTTTTTTATTTGCAATTTAAGTCCAAATTATAATTTATGGTTGCAATAAAAGGTCAAAATTCAAGGTAAAATTGATATAATGATCAAATTAGAGTGAAATTGCAACAAAAGCCCAAAGTGAAATTAGCATAGAGGTCAAATTAGAGTAAAATTACAACAAAATTTGAAATTCAGGTGAAACAATACATTAAGCATCCTAAAATTTACCTTATTGATAATTTATGAAGTGTTTTTTCTTAATGACAGTCCAATTAGTAATATCAAACACACCCTAACAATGAATACATTAAAGATCATTAAATTTGTTCTTATAAATCCGAGAATAAAAAAATTATGATCATAATTAGACTTTAAAATATCTGTTGAACCTAAATAGACCTTCTAATTCAGTCTAACAAGTAATAACTAAAACATTACATGTGAAACTGTGAATTATTTGTTCCATCATGTTTTCTAGATATAACATTTCATGCAGGTCTTTCTTTTCTATCCTTTTTAATATAAAAATCTTCCAAACATGTCAAAACAGTGAAATCTCATCACGCTTAAAATATGTAGAATTCATATTGCAAATAGAGATAAGATTATTTTTTTTGAAAGAGAGAGATAAGATTATTAGTTATCTGAAAAATATGTATCATTTCAACATAAAAATTTCAAGCTATTCAAATATAAGAGAAACATAAACATTTGCATTATTTCGACCCCAAAAAAAAAAAAACCCTCCAAAAATTGCATTCCATTTTAGAATTCACTGTTAGCCAAACATGGCATTGTATAAAAATGTATACATTCCGCTACCTAAAATCCTCGACTGCTGTGGACAAACTCTAGCCCTCTCTCAACCTTTTCTATCTCCATTTGAAAGATCAGGATAAGCTCTTAAAGGCAAATTGATCTTTCATGGTATTAAAAAAGTATTTAGTTGTGGAAAATGCAGAAGGCGACAGATTATCATCTAGTAATGGACTCAAAAATGCCAGAAAGACGTTAGCAGAAAGCCTAGGCTGCACAAGGAAACATTACCAAGAAATTTGATATAGGGTTTCCACTAGGTAACAGAACCAAAATTACTATTTACCAAGAATTGCAGAGCAGTAGCTCAGCAGAAGAACATAGAACCTGCAACATCTTCGTGCAACCTAGGGAGCTCTGGAATGGCAACAGGCCCTGCAGAACTCATGCTTCCCTGTCCTGAAGAGGTTTCAGACAAATCCTCAAACTTCATGAATTGACCCATCTGTTGTGCAGCCAGGTGAGCATAGCACACAGGAGCCACTGTAAGAATACAAGGAAAAAGTTAATTAAGGTATTCAAATGAAATTTATTTCCTTGTTAAAGATGAAATATTAACTGGTGTATTAACAAATTACCAACTGAGATAGCGGTTGTACTCCTTTGGTACCTGAAGCATAGATAAATTTTATCAATATTGAACTGTTTTTTATTGAAATGACAGATAGGCAGGTAACAATTGAAGCTGGAAAGCTTACACATATGAGAGAGAGTGGATAAGATTTTGCAGGTCATCGGCAGAGAAACCAATCTCATCAAGCAAAACATGATAGTGTGCAGGCCTTGAAGTTCCCTATCAAAAAAGGAGGAAAAGGATAATGGACATAGAAGCCCAAGTCATGAATAAGAAATCAAGATTGTGTGTCAAGGAAATAAATTCACTTGCTTAAACCACAGAGTTTTCCAAGTGGAAGAGGAAAACAGAAAGGTAATGTTCAGAAACTTCAACGAAAATGTCGATCAGATGGGTCAGCCCCAATTTTTTAATAAGCAATATTGCGATAGACTTTCTTTATATACTGCATTACTAAGTAACAGAGAGAGAGAGCTCTTACAATCATCCCTGCATGAGCACACATATAGAAATCATAGTTTCTAGGATGTACTATCTTGGTATCCACAACAGTCCCTGGAGGGAGAAACATGGGTCAACACCACTTGTATCATCTAAAACACAAAAGTGGGACAGTGATATAAACTAGCTAACCTGCTGGAACATTTTCAGGACCACTGTCTAGAAATAGCTTCGTGTGGTGATTTTTCTGAGCAACAATTACTGTGAACTTGGGAACATCAACCTCCCCAAGATGCAGATAGGCCTGTACAACAAGAACTTTATTGACTTGAAAATAACAATTATTGGGAAATAAATGTGTCCCCTCATCAGCCTATCCTAAGTGTACAAGCCATAAAATTTTGTGCAAAAAAGCACAAAAGCTGGATTGCGGTAGCTATGCATTCAAGAGGATGTGAAGTCCAAGACACATAATCAGGCTTCAACAGTGAAATGGGGACTCATGCTTCAAGGAGAAAATCCACTTGTCACAAGACATTTACAGTAGGAAACTGAAGCACTAATCATTTTTTGGGTCCAACGAGGTTAAAGTTAAACTATATGAAAACACCATGCGCTCAAAATTTAATTTAACCACATTAAGTTGAACTTAAATGAAAAAGGAAAAAAAAAAAAAAAGCATATCAGAACCTTTATGATTTGCTCCACTTCAATGTTCAAAACCTGATTAAACTGTGACTCGCTCACCCCATCCCTGAAAGCAAAAACAATATTATCAAAGAATACTGGCACTTAAGAGCAAACCAATAATAGTAGTAGTAATGAAAGAAGCTCAAAACAAGATCCATAGCAGCATCTTATAACAGTATGCATGAACTTTGCATTTGATCCAGATATATGGTGGAACATGAATCATAACTTTTGCACATACAATAAGATTGCTTGTATCAAAATTCAAAAGTTACACATGTATTTTGACAATTCAAAGTTATAAATTTTGATAATTTAAGTATTATTCAAAACTTTCAATCTTACTTCAAAAATGTATCTTAACAGTTGGCAGACAGAAAGAAAAAGATATTTAACACATGCAAGAATGTCGATAACACAGTATTAATGATCATGTAAGGTGCAACATCAGAAAGCATATCGATAGCATTCTCATGAACAAAAGGTTAAGATTTCACACAGCCAAAACACAGAAGTCGTGAGGATCTCGTTTTCAAACCTAAATTATCCATATTTAATCAAAAGCAATAAAAATGAGTCTCTTATTTGCTTTTATCAGCTACTTTAAGAAAATTCTGAATGAAATGTGCCAATTTTTTAAAAATATTTTTCTGGATCTTGGTCTAAAATCAAAACACTGAGAAAAGTCAAATAAAATGACTGGTGCAAAGGACCTTCAAACAAACAAGTCTGGTCTTCCACAGCATTAAAAATAAAAAAATTAGGACAAGCATGATCATCAACGTCCCTAGGAATTCAATGTGAAGTACTCAGGTGTTTTTAATTATGGAACTCTGCCTTAGTGTTTCCTTAATATTAATATTAAAATATATGAAGATCCAAACAACTCCTGATGTATATATTTTAAAGAACTGTCCTAGGATGGAAAACCTGGAAAAGCCTTGAGCATTTATTTTCATGTGTTATATAAAGCAAATTGGAAAAAAAAAAATTCATATAATGCAATGATACCTGAACACAATGATCTGTTTGGGTTTGTGCCCATTGCTCGTACGGTAGAAGTCAACTAGCAGCTCCCTGTAACAAGGAACAATTCAAGAAATTTGAAGCTAAGAATTCTCATAATCCTTTTCTGTATCGGTAGTGATACCATCTGAGAAATTGTAACTTGTGTAGTTCAAACATATTCCTTGAACAGAGGATATATTAAGGTATCGAGACTAAAAAAATATATATATATATAAATATGAGAATCAGATATTTAACAATAAAAGTAAGGGATGGGGGCACAGCAAGCTTTAACTACTGCAAATTGCAAAGAAATTACAGGACTAAATGCAAGCAGAAAAGAGAAAATTATGGAGACATAATATAAAAAATTGGGAAAAATGTGCAAAGCCACGAGGCAAGAAAATGATATCTGGTAAACAAGTGTATACTTCTCTTTTGAATGACCTGAGGATAAAAATGACGCTTCAAAGGTTGACAACCTTACAAATGAATGGATAAACACTCAGGTTAGCATGCAATGGACAAGCAATAAATGATGAAGATAATTTACATTAAATAACAAAGCCAAGATTGGACTTGACATGTATAATAAGTAAATAGCGAAAATGTGCAAAACCAAAAGGCAAGAGAAGTAATTTGCTGATGCCAAAAATTTCATTTTGAATCTTATTTCACAAAATCCAGGTAAAAGAAGAGTATACTCCAATAACCTTACAAATGAATGGACAGACACTCAGGTTTGCATGCTGTAGCAAGCAATAAATGGTGAAGATAACTAACACATTCTATAACAATGCCAAGATTAAATGGGACTAATTGATGCATCCACATCCATGTAATCAACACACCAACAATGAGAAATAATAGAATGGAAATCATTTCACTAAAGTACCTCATAATGCCATCATCTGTCCCATCAGCCAAAGGCTTGAATAGAGCATCAATCATCTCCACCTTAGGAGATTGAGTTCTTACAGATGCTCTATACCTTGAAATCAGTGGCCAATATAGAGATCCAACAACCTGAAAAATCATCAGGCATGTCAAGGTAGCAACAGTGTAACTGTTGAGCAAGATATAAGCAATCTGACTGAATTCTAACTTCTGCAGAGGACAAATTACCGCGGCTACTGATGGAATATCTGCACGGCCAGGAGAACCATGAGACACATCCATGCCTAAAATCATTGTAGGAATATGCATTACGAGAGGAATATGCTTGGAATGCTCAATTGCCAACAAAGAATTTATTCCTCCAAGCTATAATAGAAGATCAACACAATAAACATCAATCCTATCTGAACAAAAATATATAACAAGGTAAAAATTTAAAGATACTTTAAGCTTCTGTTTTTCAAGATATACCTTAGAATTGATCTTAAGAAGTACGTTAGTAAGATATTGGTCATTAATCCTAGTTGGTGAAATGCACTGTGTTACAATACCAAAATCACTCAAACATTTCTTCTTCCATGGTCCTGGGAATTGTAAAAAAACATAAGTTGGTCAAATAATTCAAACGAGCTGCTGAGAGAGAGAGAGAGAGAGAGAGAGAGAGATCTAATAAAGAAGATAATTTCCATACCATAAATGTCAGAATTTTTCCTCTCTGGCAAGACACATAAAATAAATTGGGGAGAACCTGGAAGCTTATCTCTGATCTGCTCAAACATCCTTTCTACTCTAGCAAAAGGACTGGCTCTTCTAGTTTGTGGGTCCTCCTCAATTAAGGTATGTGGTCGTTCAATTTGCTTTATGGATGAAGTACACATGCATATAAGAGATGCAGATAGGTAGAGTACTAAATTTTAAAATCCAGAAATACCAGTGCAATTCAAAGTGATTTGGAGTGATAAAGCTTGATGCAGATACATACAATGCCCTTTTTCCTTCCACAGTTAATAAGATCACGAGATATTTGACTAGTATCACAGCGAGCAGAAAAATTAACAACAGCCCAGCGCTCAATGCTAGTGGTTTTCCAAAGTGTCTGCAATTGGAGAAAGCTAACTTTAGCCAAAAGAGAGAACTGACGATATTACAAGATCCAAGAGAGTTCAAGAAAATATATAGTTTCAAAGAGAGAGAGAGCAACTGCTAATTGTACATTGACAGACAATATAGTAAACCAGCACCTTGTTATTAAAGTTCCACCGTCCATTACGTGGCAAACAGTCCTCACTATTTCCAACCTTCAACTGCAAATTGCAGAAATGAATTTTATTGACCTAAATCCACCAAATAGTCCTATGGACCAAAAAACCCCACCACCAACACACTCACACCCAATCAAGAGAAGAAGAAACAAAATAAAAAGTGATGCAGAGCCAGTATTTACCTTTGGAGTCTCAAGTACTCGACCATCAACCTGTGTCAACTGTTTTTCTATTTTAACACCACATGCAGAAAGCACAGGATCATCATCATAATGGTAGTTTCTCATAGCCTGCCAAATTACCTAAATACTTCAGTTTCTCAAAACTACCAGGAAATAAAAGAGGAATATAAAGATAAAGGACAACTTACATCAGTCACTGTTTTTATTCTGTCCAGGGGCTTTTGTCGAGATTTTTCAACCAAAGATGCTCTTTGCATTGGGGATAGAGCTTTAGTATAACGCTGGAGTGAAACAAGTGAACAAAGCTGCAATAAAAGGGAAAATCCAAGGAAGAATGATAAGTTTGAGGAAAACAAACTAGAAAAAATGCTAATAAAGAATTTTGCAGACCTCTAGTGGCAGATAGTTTGGTCTTTTGGGTTTGCCAACATCAAGGCAAGGCAGGTATGCTGAATAAGTGAGTTCTATTCCACAGTGTCTGACAAAGTAATCATACACAGTTATCTCCTCAATCTGTGATTCATCCTTTGCACTGTCATTATCTTTCACTTTCATGGGAAAACTAGGAGTTAAGGCCAAAGTTAGAGATTGTCCAAGGGATATGTAATGGAGACTCAGAATTAAAAGACAGAAAAGGCACATATGGGAGAAAAGAACATACAATTGCTGATTGCAGGGCTTCTCACTCAAGCCTGTGATTTTAAATTCCATGTTCCGATGCCTTGTCTTAACCCTCAAATTCTTCAACATCCTTTTTGCCTGTGCATCAACACAAGATTGAATTCAACAAAAACCTATGCTAGATTTTCAGGATGGCAATTTTGCAATTTCGTACCTTTGCCCAATCAATATAACGAGGTTCCCTAACATTCTGATTTGCTATCAAAAAATCAATAACTGGTCCAGGGCTCAAGATCATTGTTGTAGACACATCTAAACCTCACCAAAAACAAGAAGAAAGGCAATAATACCAAGGAACAACAGGGAACCCAAGAATTTTAGAAAATACGATTAAAAAATATACTCCATTCAACTCAAGCCAAATCATGACCTCAAAATAAAAACTGAGGCAATGTGGACAGGAAAAAGGTTAATACCCATGTTGAGGGACAAGCCTCCCTGAGTGGTACGGAAACTGGAATGGAATCCCCGTAAACCAGTTACACCCCCGCCAATATCAGTAAAGTTCATTCGATCATCATGAAAGAATGACTGCCTTACTAAAAGGCACCCTCTGTAACATATTTCAAGCAATTCAATCAAACATCTGATATTCATAAAAACTTACATACACGCATATAGAGAGAGGGCATGGAGAGAGAAGAACTATAGGACCTGTTAGCTGCTTGCTGCCTCAAGATAATATCTAAAACCCTTAGAGCATCTTGAGTGCTATTATCTGCCTCAGTTCCTTTGAGAGCTTGAGCAATTGACTTCAAGGGGATTTTGGTAGCGTAGCTAATTTCTACTTTAAAAGTCTTTGAACGAAAAGAACGTTTTGACCTCTTAGCAGCTGCAGCAGGGCTCCCACCTCCACCAGGGCTCCCGTTTTGACTACCATGCAACAGCAATACAACATAAGGTTGCAGATAGAAAATATTCTAATGCACACTCAAAAAAGTGAATGTTGCAGTCACATACTGTTTTGCAAATGATTCTTCAAGCAACACAGTGAACTCAAATTTGTTTTGTGGCAGAGGGCCCACTGTGTAGAGGCTTTTCTCACCATCATAAGCAAACATTTTACCACCAAGTTCAGATGAGTATGTTTGGTAAAGCCTATCAATTAGTTTTCGCCCAATTCCTTTGCCCTCAACAACTTGCTTGTCTTCTGAAGTAATGGAAACCTGCAATTTTCGACATATTTAAACAAGCACATGATGAAGTACCAAAGACCAGAAGGAAAACACTAGGTAGACATACAGTGTACTGGTAAAACACAGCATCTGAAACCCTGACAGAAACTTTGAAGTGGTTGGTGAGTAAAGGAATTCGACGCCCACTAGTTCCAAATCCGTGTCGGCTGATGATAGAATGTTTAGGCATATCTGCCACCTCTGGCTTCACAGTGGTAGGCATTGGAGGTGGTGGGGATCCTCCAATTTCTTTCTCCATCTTTCAGTCAAACTAGGAACTCCTCAAGTCTTTAAGGCAACAGAACACAATATTTTAGTAAGACAACAACGAGTTAAAACCAAGATCAAAGTAAAAAAGTCTAAACGGCAAACGGGACAGATGTTAAAGAATGTGAAGTTTTAACCATTCTGCGGATCAAACTGAATGCACAATGCACACCAATGAAACAGCCAAACACATTATGTCACAAAACCAAAATTTCTAGAAATCAGATATTATGTGACATAGCTAAAAATGCCACCTAATATATTCACATAGCCAAATTAAACATTTATCTGAAGATTGTTAAAAACAAGAAAAACCCACGAGGTGGCAATTAATTACTGACTTCCTGCCATTTTGACCAATCTAAAACTCATAATATTTTATTTTCTAGTTTCAATTTTCAGCAAACAAAAACACATGTTAGCAATTAATCTCATTTGAAATAAGAAAACACGTGAAAAGCCTTAAGATCTAGCAGATCATAATCACAAAAATTGTAAATATAATAACGAAATCCCAAAAAGTTTTCAGAGGAACAAAAATTCCAAAAAAGGACCAAAATGTAAAGTACAAATAGAAGAGCACTAAAACCTCCAAACAGCAAATAAATAAAACAGCCATGTATAACCTCTATGATAGATAGTCACACAAGTTAATACCAAATAAATCACTAAACATCAAAATCCTCAAGTCTAGTTAGTAAGTAATGAGCAATTTAACCACAAAAAGAAAAAAAAAATTAAAGAAGTAAATGCGTAGAAATAGAATATAATTTTCAGCTTAGTTAACTCTACCCCAAATTTTCGAAGAAATGAAAAAATGAACAAAAGCCAAATAAACTTGAAAAAAAAAATAATAATAGGATAGATTTCAAGAGCAAAGACACAGTGTAGCTCAAATAAACGTATTAGAGAAACAAAAACACACATTAACACAATGCAGGGAAAATAGACTAGAATTGCAGAATACATGCAACAATAAAGCTTCGTTCAACCAAAAACTGAGCGAAAATAACAACAAACGGAGTTCAAATGAAAGTCACACAGCTAAGAAGCTTAAGCGTAGCTAATGAGCAAATAGTCGAAATAGAACCAGAAATAAGCTTGAAAAAGGAGATAGAGAAGCGATAATGAAGAGAATAGTACCTTAGATTTAGGGTTTTCTACTTCTTTGGGAGAATCGTAGCAGAGAGAATTTGCCTTGTTTTTTGTTCTTCAACGCTCACCAGTACAATGAAGAGAATGGAGGGAAAGACGAACGAGTGCGTATATAGACAGAGAAATAAAATATTAGATTTCAGGTATTTATATTTTCTGTGTGACGAAGAGTAATTTTCGTATGCTTGCTTATAGAAATAGGTCACCTTAGTGTCCTTTGATCACCACCGTTCGTCAAGATCACAACCATTTATGTGATTCACTATGAGGATGATTTTCTTTTGCTTTTTGTTTTCTTTGTTTTGGTAATGCTGTGGTGATTGTACACGTATGTATCGTTGTTAGATTATTTTACAAATCAATGGAGGGAATTTGATCTTTTACTTTAAAGTCCTTGATTTTGCGTCTGCTTTTGCGCTCGGATGGTCTTTTCCTCTTCAATTTTGTTTAGTTCCTATTAAATATAATTAAATTCTTTCTTTATTCCCTCCTCTCAGAAATATTTTGGCATATAACTCCGACAACTTTTGAATTAGTTGAACATTTTTTATTTATTTATCCAAATAATTTTTTTATTTGATTAGTGAATCCTTTAAGAGGTTATTCGTAACTTAAACGACTCAAATATGCTGATTCCATAAATTTATAAATTCTTTTATTTAGTTGAGAGAAAATACTGTAATTTAGCCTCAATGTTATCATTTAAAAAAAAAAAAAAAAAAAAATGTTATCATTTAGAAAAAAAAAAAACAAAGTGGAGGAACTTAAAAAAAAAAAAAAAAAAAAGGAGAAACTTTATTAATCAACTAGATAAATTCAACAAAAGATTAGATACAATAAAGGCAAACATAGGAGCGAGCAGCTCCGGCTAAGGAATGAGCTGACTTGTTGGCTTGCCTTCAATTTTTAAGAGAAAATTTTAAGAGCAAGTATCCCAATGTTATCGTCTTAGAAAAGAAAAAAATCAATTTCATTATTTTTATTGGTAACTAGTTATTTATGACGGGTTTGCACTTTAACTTTATTCATTATATATTTATTTTAATTCATTTAATTTTTTATTTATATAATATTAAAGTATAACCTTTTATTTAGATTAAAATAAATACGATGATTATTTTATATTGTATGTTACTAATATAATTTTTTTTTTTTTCTGTTATATGTCTTGCACCCTAACATCCAATTGAAAACAAAAAAATATTTCTACTTCTCCCTTTAAAATAGTATTTTCTTTAAAAAAAAAACTCTAAAAAATAGCAATTTTTCATTTATATTCTTTTTACCGTCACTGATCCGATTAATAATTATTAACTAAATTAGGTTTGTGCTATTTTTTAAAGTTATCCAACTTAGTTAATGGAGTATAAATGCTGAAGAGATTTTAATTTTTTTTTAATTTATATTTACTTTTGAGTTTGATTTTATTTCAAATACCCACTTTAAATATAATAACTAATCTCATAATTTCAAGCATCGAACATGGGCATAAATATATTGTTAAATAAATTTTATTATTAAATTACATTATTATTTATTTTGATTAAAAATAATAAAAATTAATTTGTATTTTTACTTATTTAAAATTAACAATATAAAGTACTTTTCTCCCATATAATTAATATACTTTATAAAATAAAAAAAAAAAGGATTACTATTTCAAAAAAAAATAAAACTCATTGAAAAAAAAAAGACTATTATTAGTCATTAAATTAAAAAAAAAAAAGAATTAAAGGTAACTAAAAAGTTCAAGATTTTTTATTTGCTAAAAAAGCTTCAAAATGAAATAAATAAATGTTAATATGTAACTTAAAAATCAATACACAAACAATAATATTGGTAATGAGAGATCATCTCCTACGTTTATAGTATATATGAGATTAAATTCAAAATTTTCAAAGTCCTATATTTTTATTTAAAAAATTAAAATTTTAAAAGTATAATTAGCTTTATATCTATTTTAAAAATTATTTTTCAAAAAATACATCCAATGAAATCACAAAAAAATTAAATAAAATATCATAAATTCAAAAAATAGAATAAAATCTTGAATAAAAAGATAACTCTTGAATTTTTTTCATCATTCCGTCTTTAATATATAAAAATAAAAATGAAAATGATAGCAAATATACCCAAGTAGCCTTTTTTTTTATTAATCCAAACTTTTATAGTGTATTTTTTAATAAGATTTCATTAGATTAAAAAAGGAAAAACTTTTTTATATAATATTAGTCAAATACAACAATGTCTGATGAGTCCAAATAAGTGTATGCCATCATCTAAAATAAATTTCAAAGAGAATGAATATATTTAAAAAATTTTATTTTTATTTTATTCTATTTAACTAATAAAGTCTAATAGTATAATAGTAAAGTGTTTTCCCATATTTTAAAAAATGCAAAACATTATAAATTAAAAAATTTTAAATTTCATTTTTAATAGTTTAATTAAGGTTTTCAATTTACATTTTAGAAAATAATATCACATGAGAACTTATAATTAAGAATATCAAAATCTATTAAATATCACATGAGAACTTATAATTAAGAATATCAAAATCTATTAATTATAAAATTATTGGACAATAATAATGCAAGATCAAATAGAGAAAATGCATATATTCAAAAAAAAAAAAAAAAGAGAAAATACATATAGATATTTTCTCCAATTAAAATGCTTAAAAACCTAACTAAAAGTATATTCAAAAGGATAAATGGAATCTATAATTGAAAGAATACAACTAAAAAGATAAATAGTTTTTCCAATTAAAATGGATAAAGAAATATCGTTAAAATGGATACATTAGGAATTCCAAATTAATCTAAGGGTATTATAAGAAATCTCATCATTTTCTCCATTATTCCCATGCTCATATATAGTATAGAAGTAAATTAGGTTATGTAAATTTTATTTTCAAATTATGTTTCAAATCTATAGATTTTTTTTTAAAGGAATACTCATACTTTTATTAAATTAACTGATAAACAGATAACAAATATAGAAAAATTATTATCCTATATACGGTACCTAGAATAATTGTAGGAAGCTGTAGCTAAAGAGTGAGCTCCCATCGCATAATCCATCTAATAGAAACACTAGATCTTTGCCCTAAGAGCATTCCACAGTCACCAATCACAACACATAACTCTGACAAATCTAATGAATATAACTAAATAAGATAAATCAAACACTGTGCATCAATAAACATATTATAATAGGTTACAAGTTATACGATCTAATGTTTAAATAAATTCTGTATATAAACTGATTTTTTTAATAATTTTTTAGCCCTTCAAAATTTGAAGAGTTTTCATTTTAATTTAATGTCAAAAATTATTTTTATAATAGCCAAAAATATGGAAATTTATAACTTATTTGTTCTAAAAACATGAACTTCTACTATGATTTTTTTTATATAATCACGATTTAATTAACATTAATTCAAACCTAATTCATTAAATAAAAAATATTGAACATTACAAACATACAATTTTAAATGCTACAAAATAATTTAGAAATAATATTTTAAATAGTTCGAGATTTAGATGTATTAAGAGTTATAAATAATATATTATTATAAATAAGATTTTAAGTACTAAACGATGGGCCATTAAGTAGTCAGGGAGTTGCAAATTATATTCTCTGTATTGTTTTATTTTAGTGATTATAATTATAATTTAAAGAAAATCACATAAACAAAATTATAAATTAAAATCTATATGATTATTTTATTTGAATAAGACTTTAAATTATATAAATTTTAAATGAATTCATTTCTGTAAACTACAAAATTATTCCTATTATTAAAATGAGTAAATTGCTTTTTAAAATTTTAATAACCAAAAAGAAAGTTTTTCTTTATTCTAAAAAATCTAAAAATAAAATATTAATATAAATATTTGATCCGACACAATTTTTTCATAAAAGATATTAATAATATACACTATATAAAACATAGCTCAATAATAATATTCAATTTTTCATGTAGAAAATAATTATTTGAAAATTAAAATGACAATGATTTTGGATTTTAACATTTGATATTTGATTAGAAAATTTGTTTTAATAAAACCACTTTGTCTCCAAATTTAAATAAATGATTGCATAAATATTAAATGTTTCATATATTATTTCATTTAATGGTCAATTTTTAAACAACATAATTTAATGACTACTAATTATTCTCTCTTATTGTAGAATTAATAGTAATCTACGTCAGCACTCAAAAAAAAAAAAAAAAGGAGATTCTAATGAACTACGTACTTATTCTCTCTTATTGTATCTGCATTCTAGTCAATCTTACGTCGCACTATACAAAAAAAAAAAAAAAAAACACCGGATATAACTCTTAAGCGGTCAACACTGAAAACACGAATTATGAAGGCACCGGATCATCTATTGCACAAAGGCACAAAACCCAATCAAAAAAGAAACAAAAGGTACATTACGGACACTTACTGTATCCCTGAAATGCCATCCTAACACTACTTCAGGCCCCTAGCTTTGTAAACTGTAAGGCTTTTTCAGTTTTATCTTTTTAAAAAAGGCCAAAAAAAAAAAAAAAAGGTAATCTACGTCAATGAAAACACGGATTTGAAAAGGCACGGCATATATTGCACAAAGGGGTACTTCGGACTTCTGATTCCTGAATGCCCTCTAACCTCTCAGCCAATAGCTTGTAAACTGTAAAGGCTTTTTCAGTTTTTTTTGGCAATGCTGTTTTGTCGTCTTGCATGAAACGACGAACGAGTGCAAGCTGAACATTTGGCTTGTTTGTTGTAACTGACGCCTCAGTACAAAGTAGACGGCTCAACAATGATGCGCTCTCTCTCTCTCTCTCTCTGTATGCATATTCTTCTTATTTTGGAGGTGAGGGAAAAAGAAAAGGAAGGTAAACCATTGAAAAGACTAATTTTTTTATTTATTTAAATTACACAGTTAGGGATAGGGGTGAGTATTTGTTTCGATTTTTTCGAACAAATCAGTTTTTTCTGTTCCTTCAGTTAATTTTGTATTTTTTTTCGACTGTTTACTATGATTAGTCTGATTAATAAACAAAATTTATTTCAGTTTAACAAGATTCAGTTTAAACAACCCGAATAAATTTAGAGGGACAATGCTATGTTTCGAAAATTAGGGCCC